CATGATGTTTCCTTTTAACTTGGTTTAATAATATAATCTTTATTCAGAAATGAGCTTTTGTAAAAAAAAAGTCAATAATTACCTTTGTCACTGTTTATTTAATGAATCCATGGAAAGACTTCATTAAATTATAAATACCTCATTACTGATATTCTCATAATAGATTTTTGAAATTATGATTTGAGCCAGTTATCTATTTCAAGGAAGATACAGTACAGGGAGATCAGTACATGTCCAGTGAAATGACTTCTGGTTTTGCTAATGTAATATTCATGAGATTTGACAAGACAATCATATGTAATCCCAGAGAATAAGAGTTTGAAATGAATTCTTTTAAATTGTAATTATCCATTGGCAAGAAAGTTTAGCAAGTTTTATTGTTTATATAATTTAAGTGACTTGCTATCCTATAAACATGAAAAGGTTGTGTTTTAAGGATATCTATAGTTTCTGAAAGAAATAGTAAATACCAGTCCTATAAATATGCTTGATATTAGTATTTTGTGCTTTATGTGTATTTTAAATCTATTGTTTTCAGGGAAAACTCTTTGGTGATCATTTATAAATAAATTGTTTTTCAAAGCCTGATGCAACTTGGGGTGAAGTAGATAATGTCTGAATTAGGTTCGGGCCTGTTTGATCCTTTACTTTGATAGTTTTCAGTTCCACTCTAGCTAACTCTAGATTTTAAATCTATGAGATGTCAAAGACATTTGAAGTTGAGGCAAAAACTGATCATATCCAAGAAGAGATGGGCATCATTTAAAAGTCAAATGTTCTGCAAGCATCACAGACGCTCCTTGTTTCTACATTGTTTATTTTATTGTGTTGCAAAAAATCAAATCCTATGAAATCTGGAGATTTCTACACCTAGAAAATGAGTATTTTGCATTTCATACTGCAGAAAGTTTTAAGGATAAGTTAAAGGGACTTATTTTAGAGTTCAGTGCATTTTTCAGCTTTAGCAATGCAATGCTTCTATTCCCTGAATCTAGACCTTGTTAATAATTAATACTCTGATGAAAATAGGCTCTTATGGCCTACCTATCATAACAAGTAGGAAACTTCAAGAACTTTTTCCAATCTATCCTGGATAAGAACCAGGTCTATAATAGATGAGACCCTAAAACAATGGGCAACTCTAGAGTAACAAGTATCTTCCTATACTTGTGTTGAAAGGACTGCCTCCTACGGTGTAACAAGAATTTAAACTTGTTATGTAAAAATATTTCTTTCTAACCACCAGGGAAGTCCACAGGGAGTCTCAACAGTGCTTGCTCCCTCTTGGATAGTAAAAAGGTCATCCATTCACTTTTAGACATAAAATGTAATATCAGCTTACTCCTCTGTAATAATAGAAGTCAGTTAAAGCCTCCTCATTATCCCTGCTTCAGCCACAGTGGAGCCCCCGCTTGCACTGGGAGGAACATGATTGTTTCCACAACTTTCACTTTTCCTCTCCCTCTCTTATCCTCCAGGGATGAAGCAGGAGAAGAAAGAAAACATAAAGGGCATAAATGACCTTACTTGGCTAATATTATTGTACCCATCTAGTTGAGCTTAGCCTTTACTTAAAGTTCTTAAGGAGGCACTTTTTGGAAGCATTTGGTTCTTTAGAGACCTTAACCATATCATTAGAATTCTTTACCTGCAATTCCATTAAGGTAGTAAATGCACTTCCTTCAGATGGTCATTTAGGATTCCCACCTCAGCCTCTGGTCATCTATCACTGTAACTCCAAGTTCTTTTTTCTTTTTTTCTGAGTTTTCTTAACTACTCAGCCCAATTCCTTTAGTAACCCTGCTAAACAGGGTACAACACAATTCTACATGGACACTAACCTAGGGTCCACAAGTGTCCTTTGTCCTAACAAACCCTAATGTACAGGTGGCTCCTGGTACATCAATATCTCTTTCCTTGGCCACTGGGCATCAGCCAGCCACAGTCTCTTCCCTTGAAGATTTCTGAGGCATAGTCTAATGCTAGTTTGCTCACTACCTTGACCACTGCCACTGACCAAGTTCCAGAAGACACATGTCAAATTTTCTGAGATGTTCCACTAATGTCCCTTTCTCCTACACTTGAGATAGGGAAAAGTAAGCTTCCACCTTGCAGGTATGTGGAAATCACATCAAATCTCAACTCTCCAAAAATCCTCTTCTAATTGTCAATCTCCTCATTCCTTATTCTGCATTTTGATGGATTGAAGTAGGTAATTAATTCAGAACCCTAAAAGCAGTTCTCAGTGTTCTCCTTTGCAAGTCTGGCTTAAGTAATTTTCAACTTCATTTTGTAAGATGGAAACAGTAATCTGTTTTTGACTTATTATCTTATCATCTTAACATCTCAGCTGAAACTGAAACAAAAAGAAGCATTTTAATATTCGATTATATCCTCATATCAGTTGCTTGCAATTTATTCCAAAATTATTTTAAGCATACATTGATTGATACATATCTGCTAACTTCGAAGAATAATCCAAGGCCCCTTAGTGATGCTACTCTAGCAGTAGAGATAAAACAGGTAGTAAAAACAGCTAAATTTACCAAATCTGCTAGCTACAGCTATAGGATGGCACAGCAGTCCTAAACTCAGCCTAGTGTAATGATTAAGGACCAGACTCTGGAGCCTGACTGTGTGGATCTGAGCTACAGCTTTTCTCTTTCCAGCTGTGTGACTTTAGCCAAATTTCTTAATCATTCTGTGCCTTAATTTTCTCATCTGTAAAATGGAGATAAAAGAGCGTCTCCTTCATGGAACTGTTATGAAGAATACCAGAGTTAGTATTTATAAAATGAGTAGAGCCCTATGTATGTGTTTGGTCGTTAGGAAACTCAGGGTCCATGTAGATAGGGTAAATTTTTTAATATTTGTTTATTTATTTTGAGACAGGGTCTTACTCTGTCAACCAGGCAGGAGTTCAGTGCACAGTCATGGCTCACTGCAGCCTCAACCTCTTGGGCTCAAGTGATCTTCCCACCTCAGCCTGCTAAGTGGTTGGGAATACAAGTGTGTGCCACCATGCCCAACATTTTTTTTTTTTATGGTAAAGATGAGATCTTGCTATGTTTCCCAGGCTGGTCTCCAACTCCTGGGCTTGAACAGTCCTCTTCACCTTGGCCTCCCAAAGTGCTGGGATTATACATGTGTGCCACCACTTCTGGCTGGGTAATTTTAATAGCTGCAGAGACTTTAGCATATATTTTCCCCTGGACTTATTATTTCCACCATATTTCTCATGACCCTTACTTTCAAATACATGACATTGTAAGACATTTTAGTATTGTGTAGACTGATTCAGCTAATAAACAAACAGCAAAAGTCCAATGAAAATGCAAACTTTATTCAAAGACCTGTTTTAGCTCAGATCTTTCTGTAAGCCTGCATTATTTTCTCATTGTAGTAGAATTACTTTTTACTCATTTCAGTAATTACTGAAAATAAATTTTCAGTAATTTATTACATACATTTTTAACACGTGATATAACTCTACAGGAAAAGTTTAAAGAATCTCATTTAAGAGACATAATAAGTTATCTTTATTTAGCAAACATGTATATAGTGTTAAAATGCGATTTTTAAAAAAGTTAAATCATCCATCAAGCCTAAAGCAAATCAAAACAAAAAAAATGTAAGCATGCTAACTTATAAGAAAGAGATCTTTATGTACAATAAGAACCCAGGGGAAAAACTCAACAGAAATCTTTAGATCTCTACGTGAAGGATATAATGAACAATACTGAAAAATAACATCCTCAAATATTTTCCTTTGATTAATGCAATTTTGTAAAAGATTTTCCATAAGGATTCTCAGTGTAAGCTGATAGCATACTCCTGCTGTCTAGTTCAAATAATGATGACAACCCCACAAAGAGTCAAGAGAATGTGGTCCACATCTTCAGGTTTCTAACATTCTGATTTAAAACTTCTACAGGAAAGGATGGACTGTGTGTACTTTAAACCCTTCTTCCTCCATGTCATTTCTCTCAACTGAGGTTTGATGAAGGGTGAACCACAGACAGTTTGAGGTTATGCGTTCTGACAAGGGCCTACAGTGCAGGTATTCTGTGCGACTGATTAAGGGCAAATCCACATGCTTTAAAAATCTGCAGAATTCATGGTAGAGTTGACAGTCCTGTTAGAGAATGCTTCTCAGAGGCAGAGGACATAGCACATGTTTCTCTTTGCCACCTTTTATTATGAAATTCTAAAGTTAACAGCAACAACTTTATAGTTAGAATGATTCATAGTGTGGTTTTGCATAATTTGAAGAGGGGGTTAATTTTGGATAATGGTATCTTTGCTTTAATTTAGCTTAGGTATAATCTAAGAATAAAGGAACTGAATTTTAGTTCTAGTACATCTCTATTAAGTTATGTGTCCTTGAACAAGTCTTGTACCTTCCTGTGTTATCATCAATAAAATGTTGATGTTTGATCATCAATAAAATAAAACATTGAATAACTTTCAAGCTCTTAGTATTTGATGGCTTGTGAATACTGACTAAGCGACTGCACTCATTAAATGCCTCTATGCCCCATACCCTTTAGAATTATTTCCTATATTGTGAGCATGTGTTAATGGGCTCTAAACAGACATCATTGCTCTGATTTCACCGGTTATTAAAAGGAAGAATTTGGAGTCCCATTTTTCTTGTGAAATGGGGAGAGTGGATTAAAGGGGCTGTGTTAAAGGACATGAAAGTATGTCCTTTGTGCAGGCAGCTATGCACCTTCTCTGTGACAACCTCTGGGAAGAATGCAGCTCAATTCCCTTGAAAGTGTGCCTTTTGGAATATCAATTATCCATGAAAGAGATGTCTTAAATTTACCCAAATGTCAAGAATCTTGCTTCTACTACATGTAGTTTTTCAGAAGTAAAAATTGGAGGAAAACAGCTGTTGTCCAAAGCACAATTTTAAACAATACCTTGTATGTGATCTTTATTAAATGGTGACTAGTCAACTTAATACAACTCTTTTTTCCCCTCCTCTCTTACAGCACCAGGGAAAAATTGGAGTTAAGTTTAATGTTGGGACAGATGACATCGCCATTGAAGAGTCCAATGCAATCATTAATGATGGGAAATACCATGTAGTTCGTTTCACGAGGAGTGGTGGCAATGCCACGTTACAGGTGGACAGCTGGCCAGTGATCGAGCGCTACCCTGCAGGTAAGCAAGTGAATATGTATCGGGGGAAGATTTTATGAAAATCAAACTGGAAGAAAAAGCACTGTTTTGCGTCCGTTTCACCAAATTGTGGTTTTCTGAGAAACCATCAACTATTTATTGGACTTTAGAGTCATGTGAATGTAATGCTGTCCTAAACTGTTCTTGCTACAGTGTACAAATGCCATTTTATAAGAGAACGTGAAGGTGTACATTATCGTTTTCAAAATTCAGGACATCAATGAAATCAGAAAAATGCACACATAAAAAGCACAACATATCAAAGCTCTTTTTACTGGATCCTTGCATTTAAACAAAGGAAAGGCTTTGTCAAAAGTAACAAAGTTAAAATTTAAAACTAAGGGAAAGAATATTATAACACTTTATTTATTTTTTTTTCTGAGAGAAAATAAGACCTAACCGTTCCGCAGATGGTGGTGCACAGCTGAAACTCATTAAAGTGTAGGAATCCCATGAGATAGAGAAATAGTGAGAAAACAATAGTAGCATAAATCAGCAGTTATAAGAACATGTACATAAAAGAAGTTTGTTTTCACTTTCATATAACCATGGAGTTTCATGAGGATTCTTTGACACTAGCGCTACTCATTTTAAGTCTATAAAATAAATGTCAAGTCATTATTGATAAAATAAAAATTATCTTGTTTATTGTGAATGAGTTTTATCAATATTATGTTATTGAAACAAAGGTGGTAGATTAGAAATTTTAAACAGTGCTACTTGTGGTGGTATGTATCCTCAATTTTAAAACAAATATGTTTTGAAGTAAAATATAAATTAAAAGTATAAAGGTATTTTACTGCAATCATTATCATCTTTATATTTTAGCATAAAATAGGTTACCAAAAGTATCTGTCTCATTTATCTCTTTCCCCTTTAGATATAACTGTGTTTTTTGCAAAGCACACAATTTATAACACAGTATAAGGAAAAAGTATAAAAATACATTTCTATTTTATCCAATAAAATAATAATCAAAACATATATTAAATTCCTCTATCAGACTTATTTGGTTCTTGAAAGATGTAATTTAATGACATAACCAATGTATTCAATTGATATCAAATATCTCAAGTACTGGCTCACAATTGTGGAATGAAATATCTGTAATACCCTTCTGGACCTTTTCTGGTTTATAGAATTCTAAATCTTCAAGCCCTAGTTCAAACCTATTCCATAAGCCTAGTACTCTGCAAATATTTGCTGAATTAAATGTAATTTTGTAAACTGCTCTATGACAAAATTAGGAAGCAAGAAAATTAATATGTCCAGTGCCTGTTATAATACTGGCAAATAGTAGGCACTCAATAAGTATTTGTCGAATCGATGTCTTGGGAATTATCACAATTTTACACTACAATTAGGTGAACTGTATACAACAAGGTGAAGTAATAGAAGATTTTAAAGCCAAGTAACTTAACTTAAATATGCATGCAATGTTACATAGCCCCTGCTAATCCCAGATTATTGCATTATCTGAAATCCTGGTATAAATGTGCAATTTCAATTTTTATTCTTTATTTTATCAATTTAACTTTTTTTTAAAATTTTTTTGAAATAAGATCTCACTCTTTTGCCCAGACTGGAGTGTAGTGGCAAAGTCATAGCTCACTGTAACTTCAAACTCCTGGGCTCACAGGATCCTCCATCCTCAGCCTCTCTAGTAGCTAGGACTACAGGTGCACACCACCATGCCTGGCTAATTTTTAAAAGGTTTTTGTAGAGATGAGGGTCTCGCTATATTGCTCGGGCTTGTCTTGAACACATGAGCTTAAGTGATCCTCCTGCCTCAGCCTCCCAAAGTGCGGGGATTACAGTCATGGGCCACCATGCCCAGCCTAAAAATTTGCTTTTAAAAGTGATAACTAAAACCTTAATAAAATTCCAGAAAGATGTATTGGTAATTTTCCTAAAATATGGATTAATCACTGCCTATTTGCTGAGAGAAAGTCATCACACTGGAAGCCATGAAAATACATAGTAGGATAAGGTCTAGACTTTGCTCATGGGATGTTGTCAGCTGTCAACAGTGGACCTGAACATGCAAAATGATCAATCCTGTTACGATTGCAGTGTGGCGTTTGCCTCTTGAGGCATGGTTTTGTGTTCATAGTTAATTCTTTAAAGTTATCTTTATTTAGTAACTTTTAACACTTATCAGCAATTTCCAAACTGGTATCTTTACCTAGAGGTTATTAGTACTTATGGTGAGAAAGGGAAGGTCCCATTAGTTTGGGAAATTAGTTTGGAAAATTCTGGGTTAAGCTCCCATGCTCAAATTAGTTTGGGAAATTCTGGGTTAAGCTAAGTTAAAATATCTATACTTGGACTTTATTAATATGCATAATGTATCTCTAAAAGAGAAATACAGGATGCATTACCCAAGCATAGATGGTAGAAAAGAAATATAGGATATATTAGCCAAACATCATTGCATTTTAGTAAATATTTTATGTTTTCAAAAATTTCTGTATCCCCCAATTTTACTGTATTTTATTTGATTGTACACATACCAGATATCATGTACTGAGTATAGTTCAAAAAAGATATGGTTCCTGTGTTCTTGTAGCAGACTGATGTCCAGTTTGAATCTGGTAGCTGAGATTGAGGCAGTACTTATTATTTGAGAAAATATTTCTACATGTTTTTCTAGATTAATATTTGCTTAATGCATATAGTACCTTATTTGCCAATTAAACAATTGTTCAGAATAAGAAACACAATGTAAAAGATGTTTAAAAATAGAAATGAGCAGTATAGTAATAAGAAGCAAATCCTTACATATAGTTATTTCAGATGCAACTTTCAACTTCTAATCAGAGATTTTAGATGCCCTTTTACCAAGATATATTTTAGAAAATATAAATAAACCGAGAGTGGGCAAAGTTGCAATTATTCTGAAGGATATAAGCAAGGAAAAACACAGAGTCTGCCCTCAAGAAAATTAAAGCACATATGAAGAATTTTAATATATACATATAAAAAGGTAATGATCAATATATAAAGAACTCAGGAGAGTCACCATTGTCATCAGATGTTTTATTAATCATCTGCTCTGTGTTCATTTCAGTGTGATGCTGAGGTAGGAAATAAGCCATGAAAATTTCAAATACCTTTTTCTCTTGGAGATTCATCTGCAACGGTGCCATAATGGCTGAATACAAATTTTGAAGTGTGTGTGTGTCAACTCTATTAAAGTGTTTATGACAAAGTGATTGTAAATACAAGTTCAATAGCAAAAGTCTAGTATATGTATTTTATGTCAGTTTGTGGTATGGCTCTTTTTTATTAATTTTGGGAGTTATTTTTATTAGAAGAGCAGCTAAATTAAAGCTTTTACCACCAAATCCTATAATCAGAGAAGCGAGAACCAGTAGCCTATATTTGGTTCCTTTAAAGTGCCTGTACTGCAAAATATAGGCAATAAGGATTGAAATTAGTAATTAGTATAGCACTTAACCCTCCATTATGGGTCTTTGTGGGAAGTGCTTTTATATGAAGCAATTCATCTGGTAGCAACACTATACCTTTAATGAAAAGCAACCAAAGCATTGACCAATGGTACTACCCTGTAATTGCCTGGAAGGCTTTCATAGAGAAGCTAATTAGTAGAGGTAGATTTTATGCTCTTTTTGAGTATATGAAATCTTCCTATAACTCAACAATTTATATTTTAGAATAAATATTGAATTTTCTGAATAGCAGACCTAGTATCCATTATTTTCTGTATATAGAGCAAAGTACAGAGACAATATTTTACAAACCATTTAAAGTTGAGAAAGCCATTTCTTGGTGCTTATCAGTTAAAGCTCTAGAATATAATGCATCATTAATCTCTGATTTGTCCCTAATTACAGTTATGCAGCAAAATTTTCTCTCTCAACAAAAATAGACTTTCTTTTCTCATAACATTAATTCACAAAGCCCTACATCATCTTGCTTACCCAGACTAAAGATTGCTTCAGATAAATCACTGTTATCTTTGATGATAAACCTTTGAATTTGTTTTCCTACCACAGTGTGTCAAAAGATTTCTTTTGCACTCTACACAAGGTCAAATGTTCATTTTATACTTGAGTTAACATATTAAATCAACAAATATTTAAAGGATATATACTACATAAAAGGAACATACTAAATTTACAGTCTGGTTACAGAGATAGGCAAAAAAAAGTTCAAGATTAAAAATATAAAATGTGAGAAAGTGCTAGAGTTATGATATCATATTTGGCTAATTTCTGAATAAGATATAAAAGGAAAACTTGTTCCAGGGAAGAAGAGACCATTTTGAAGTGAGTGGTGTAGTAAGACTGTGAAATCAATAGTACATTAGGTTTAGGTCTCTTCAAACATGCATTCGTTTACGAAGGATTAGCAGCAAATGATAGAGACAGACAAACTATTTAGGAAACTACTAAACAATCTGTGTATCAAAAGATAAAGTACTAAAGTAGAATGTGAGAAAATAAATAGGATGAATGCAGAATACACTGTAAAACCTAATGAACAACTTAATAGAAGGAGAGACATTCCTGCATTTTAGGCTCTCTCTCTCTTTCTCTCTCTCTCTCTCTCTCTCTCTCTCTCTCTTTCTCTCTCTCTCTCTCTCTCCTTCTCTGCCTCCCCCCCTCCTTTTAACCAACAATTATTCAATGTTCTAGTGCTGCTGTGTGTCACCAGACGGCACTAGATACCAATGAAATGGCAACCAGTTGTAGGAAGGAACAAAGAAGTCAAAGACATTAGTATTCCTGTTTGCCAAGAAATTGGTCTGAATGGGAGATAAGGAGGATCCAGAAAACCTAAACATGTCAAATAAAATGTATTAACTTTCAGAATGCCGAGTTTGATTGCTATTAAGTTTAAGGAAAATAGAAAATGGTGGTCTGGAGTGGTAAGATAAAGAGATCCTTTAGGGATAAGGAGATCTGAGAGAAAGAGAGAAATGCTCTAAGACTCCATAGAGATGGTGTAAATCTTTT